ACAAATGCGAAAAAGCAGTCATCGGTACACTCCGTACCCATTGCCTCAAAATGTTGAAGATCACACGAAATGTGACAGGTTTCAGTTACTCCATCCCTTCACAGCCATTGTGGCAGGAATGACCGGTTCCGGAAAAACGTTTTGGGTTCAGAATTTGCTCGAAAATGCAACACAAGTGATCAGTCCGCCACAGCGCATCGTATGGAGTTATGCTCAGTGGCAATCTGCTTACGACCACATCATGAAAACCATTTCTGGGATCGATTTCGTAAAAGGCATACCGCTCGACCTGGATGAAGATGATTATTTTAACCCTAAGATCAATATTTTGATTGTGATTGACGACCAAATGAAAGAGACGTCCAATGATAAGGGAATCATGAACTTGTTCACCAAAGGATCTCATCATCGAAACCTGAGTGTCATTTTTCTTATGCAGAATCTTTACTTTCAAGGAAAAATTATGCGCACCTTGAGTCTAAATAGTGCATACCTCGTTCTTTTTAGAAACCCAAGAGATAAACTACAAATGATGACTTTGGGAAAGCAGATGTATCCAGGCAAGACAGAACAGTTCATTCAAAAGTACGAGGCCGCTGTACAACGCCCTTATGGATATCTTTTCGTGGATCTGAAGCCAAACACACCAGAAGAATGCAGAGAGTATGATGCCACTATGACATCCATGGCTAACTATTTCGAACTTCAAAGTTATTTACAACCACCCATACTCAAAACAATACAGAATTTAAAGGAACAGATAGATAACATTCTTATGGAACTCAATGTTCCCGCGGAACTGAAGATCAAAGAATACACTAGACTCTACAATCGATACCTCAATCTACAACAGCAACKTCCAAGCACTGTTGTATACAGACCCAAGCAGGAAACCATGCTACCGCCCTTCACTAGTCAGAGTCTTTCAATAACATCCCCTAGTCGTAAGACTCCAGAAAACGTTCCCTCTACAAGTCTCGCCTGCGATAGTGGCTGTGTAACGCCCAAACCTAAGACCCCTTCCTTTCTAGAGCGGTTAACGTCGAAAATTAGGACCCCTTCTTTCGAACCCAGTCGAGCGAAATCCTCAACTTGGACCGAGGTTCCTCTAACTCCATTAAAACCCACTACTAGTTTTGATCAACCCTCTCCTACTGCATCCTTCAGCACTCCCAAAGCAAATACCCTATCACCCCCACCAGATTTCTTACCCACTCCACCACCAAGTAAAGAAAAACCAGTCAAGTGGATGAGTTATCAAGATGCTCATAAATATAAAGATGTAGTAAAGCCTCCACGACGTTCAGAACGATTGAGAGCAATCGCGAAGTCCTTGCCCAAGTGGGAAAATGTTTACTGAGCAGTTGTAACCGTGTTCAAAAGTAATAACTAAGCTGTAAACCAATAAAATTATATATGCAAAATAAAGAAACTTGAGTGAAAAACACTTGTGGTCTATATTTACGTCAAAATCTTTGATATTATAGTGGTTACACGACTGTGTTGCGTGAGGAATATATATTATTTCAGTTTGCTTTTTATCTTTGCCGATTTGGGGTGGATGTGGGGTGGATGTGAGGTGGATGTAAAGTGGATGTGGGGTGGATGTTGGGTGGATGTGAGGTGGATGTAGGGTGGATGTGAGGTGGATGTTGGGTGGATGTAGGGTGGATGTGGGGTGGATGTGAGGTGGATATGGGGTGGACGTGGGATGGATGTCAATCT